TAAAGGAATAATGATATTAATTTGATTAATATAAGTCATAAATTAATTAGGAATTAATTTGGTGACATAAAGAGATTAATTAAAGAAAGGGGTATAAACTATCAAATGTGTGATAGTTGTATTTTGAGCTAAGAATCCTTATGGATATGGGTTGGATGATTTTAGGGATGTGGATCACCTAGAAATCGTCCAAGGCTTATCTAGAAGGGATATTGGATTGCTTTGAGGCTAAATTATCCAATTAGGGTTTTAGGGTGAAACCCCAGGAGATCACAGTATAAATAGACCCTTGGGGTTGTGGAAATCGACACCTTTGTTATTGGAGTAACCCTCGAGCCGATTTCCTTCTTCCTTACCTCTCTCAAATCATCTTCTTGCTAGTTAGTGTTTGTAAGCCATTAGAGGAGTGACAATTGTGACTCTAAGCTCCAAGGAGAAGAAGGTTTCAAGAAAGTAATTCAAGGTATGATTCTAGATCTTTTTTCATATGTTTTGATTGTTAGTTTACATTAGATCTAGCCATGAATGTCTTGGATATATTGCATGTTCAATTAGAGAAACCTAGATCCAAGCAATTAGGGTTTGCATGTGCACATAGGAAAGTTCTTATGGCTCAAACCCATCAGTAACATATGTTGGATCAACCAAATTCTAATTTTTGTTATCATACATGGATTAAATGATGCTCTTGACCACATGTTTCCATTTAGCAACCTCTAGGCTAGCTATGGCTTCCTAATAGTTGCTTGGCTCATCATGGCCAAGTAGTGTGTTATCTCCTTTAGTGATGTGGAAGCCATAAAACTCAGGAGCATGACGTTCTCTATCAGACTACGAGGTAGTTGTAGAGGTATGTTAAATCCCTCAACAAGTAGACAACCTCAATTTGAGTGGTAGGACAACTTCATGTTCTTCAATCGTTGAATCTTGAATCTTTTCAAGATTAATTTGGCTCCCACTGGTTCCTTAAGATATCATCTCACTCTTTCGGTAGACTACCCTTCGAGCAACAACACTTTTTCCTGTAAAACAAATATCCAAATGAATTATCATGATACCTAATGAATTAACACCTCTCAGATCTGGGTTCTAACGTGTCGAGTGCTTCACGAAAATCAAAAGCCTCATATGCCCAAACTTTGATACATGCTAGATAAGGCCATAAACCTAGAAATTGATATGAAGCATAGCACGATCTTAGAAATAGTGACAAATGCTATTAACTATTGTTAATAGTTTTAACGATAACATGGCCCCTTTGGGTTGTCCCAAGACCCAAATTAAGTAGAATAAATAATAGAGAAATTAGTTAATTAAGTATTATGACTTAATATTTAATTAGAAACAAATTGGAAGTATATTTTGGGAATTAGTGACACAATTTAATTAACTAAAATGTTGAATATTGATTAATCAATAGTTGGTTTATTAGGAATTTTCCAGCACCCTTATGAGATCTAGGGTTGGATGAAACTCCTCGTCCCACATAGGAGGATGAGTGAATTTTGTTTTTGGATCCTTTTCCCGCATGATGGAGTACAGAACTTAAGAAGATATTAAGGCTATAAATAGAGCATTAGGGATATCATTCTTTTTTATATCTTTGCTTGACTTTTCGCCTCCTTCTTTCTCCCCCTAGTGAACAATTTTTTTAACTCTCTTTAGGGTTTTTAGAAATTTGATCCTACGTCCTAGTTATTTTTTATTTTTCTCTTTTGAGTTATTGGGTGTGAACCAAGAAAGTGATATGAGGCTTATCTAGCATGTACCAAAGTCTGGGCATATGAGACTTTTGTTTTTCACAAAGCACTAGACAAGTTAGAACCCAGATCTGAAGCATTGCACGATCTTAGAAATAGTGTAAAAAATTATTAACTAATGTTAATATTTCTAACGATAACATGGTCCTTTCGGATTGTCCCAATACCCAAATTTAGTAGAATAAATAAAAGAGAAATTAGTTAATTAATTATTATGATTTAATAATTAATTAGAAACTAATTGAAATTATATTTGGGGAATTGATCACACAATTTAATTAATTAATGGGTTGAATATTAATTAATCAAAAGTTGGTTCATTAGGAATGTTCCTGAACCCATATGAGATCTAGGATTGGATGAAACACCTCATCCCACATAGGAGGATTAGTCTCATCCCACATAGAAGGATTGGTGAATTTCGTTTTCAGATTATTTTTCCACATGATGGAGTACAAATCCTACGAAGTGATTAAGGCTATATATAGAGTCTTAGGGATTTTTTTTTATATCATGGCTTGATATTTTGCCTCCCTCTTTCTCCCCCTAGCGAATGAAAATTTTAACTCTCTTTAGGGATTTTAGAATTTTGATCCCACGTCCTAGTTATTTTTTATTTTGCTCTTTTGAGTTATTGGTGTGAACCAAGAAAGAAATTTTGGTTTGAATCCTTTTATCCAAACATCCTTTTATTACATATTTATGTTCTATTTTTTATCTACATTGTATAGTATAGGAGCTTGTTTATAACCAGAAAGTTTATATATTGACAGTAATATTGGGTTTCCACAAATTCATCCTTTTTTTTATTTCAAACAGGATCGGTTTTGAAAAATGAAATATTTTTAAAAGGTTCAGAACAAATATGAAAAAAAAAATATCTTTATCTTTATTATAATTTTTCATTTTTAAATTAAAAAATATATATAATAAAAAAAATTGGATCATATGCAACTACCCACTTTGACTTTTCTTTATAAATTGTTGTCGGTAGTTATATTGTATAGTTTTTTGTTTGTTGATGTCATGTGTTCGTGTTACAACCCCAAAAAGTTTATTAAAAATTCCGTGAATTATAGCTAGTTATAAATAGACATATAACCCACACCGAGAACACAATTTACAAACTGCTCAAAAGTTATCCTTTCTCTCAATAATTATTTATTTTGCGCTTTGATCTTGCATGCATGGGTAGTCAGGTACAAATCAGCGGAATTAATCTAGAACCAGACGTCAGAACTGTTGAGTGTGAGTTGGGTATTGTGGACGAAAAGAGGAGTTTAGCATACCTGACATGGGAAGAGCTTGGAGTAGCTGTTTCAAGCTCAGTGTGGAATGCAGGGAAAGATGGACGTAAATCTATACTCTCTGGTGTCTCTGGTTATGCTAAACCAGGAAAGATTATTGCGATTATGGGTCCTTCTGGTTGTGGCAAATCGACTCTCCTTGATTCATTGGCTGGTATGTAATTCTCTAGTTTATCGTCCTTACATTTTTAAAGCACATGTTATATGCATGTTGTTGTATATATACGACACTATTTTAGATCATTTTCCTGTTTAATATTAATTCTAGGGCGATTGGCTTCCAATACAAGGCAGACTGGACGAATTCTCATTAACGGACGTAAACAGAGGCTTACCTATGGCACAATGGTATGGAGCAATCAATCCTACAGTGAATCGCTTTTTCCTTAATTATTTAATTAACTGATGAAAATATAATAAAGTACAAAAGTTTGCATCTTCTTTTCTCCCATACACGAACTCATTTTTTACAAAGTCTAGGACTTATCTGGTTTCTTGATTTGCTTTATATTGTATATAGGCATACATGACTCAAGAACAAGTTTTGATGTGGACGCTAACTGTGAAAGAAGCCGTCTACTACTCAGCTGAACTCCAACTACCCAAAATGATGCCAAGATCTGAGAAGAGGGAGAGAGCAGATAGAACTATAAGGGAGATGGGGCTCCAAGATTGTGTGAACACTAGAGTAGGAGGCTGGGGTATTAAAGGACTTAGTGGTGGTCAAAAGAGGCGTGTAAGCATCTGCTTAGAACTCTTGACACATCCCAAACTTCTGTTGCTTGATGAGCCTACGAGTGGTCTTGATAGCGCAACTTCATACCATGTCATGAACCAGATTGTGAAGCTCACTCGGCAATACCAGATGACGGTTTTAGCAGCAATCCATCAACCAAGTAGTCAAGTTTTTCGACTCTTTGACAATCTTTGTCTTCTCTCTTTGGGGAAAACAATTTACTTTGGTCCTACTTTGGCTGCAAATAAGGTTATATACATCTTCATCAAGTGTATAATTACATATCAAAAGACGTTTAATTCACTTATAACTACTATATATTGTTATTTTCAGTTCTTTGCAGTAAATGGTTTTCCTTGCCCAGATCTCGAGAGTCCCGCGGATCACTACCTTATGACTATCAACATAGATTTTAACGAGGTAGGTTACGGTTGTTCGATCTTTGTAATAAAATATTGAGAAAACTAATTAAAAATAACAAAAAAAATAAAAACATGTGGTCATGCGACATCATATTTCGAATATGCTAGAAGTCGGGACGATTGTAAAGGTCGCTATCTATTCAATTATCTGAGAGGTACTCGTACTTCATAGATAGTCATAGAATTCAATATGACATCCATTGTTGTAATTAAAACTTCATCTTACTGAACCATAAAATCAGGACCATGCTAGTAAATATATATAATCCCTTTCTTGCTGTAATAAAATCAGGACACTGGTAGTGAAAAGGTTCGTGATGAGCATGTAATCAACACACTTGCTGAATCCTACAAGTCATCTGCGATGTATATGGAAGTGAAAAGTGAAATATCCACCATATGTGGAGAGGTATA